TTTGGATATTAACTTGTAAAGAAGAATACAGACAAGCCTGAGTATCCATCTGAAGACGGGACGCCTTTAACAGGTCTGGTGTGAGAAAAGAAAGCTGCAGCAGACCCTGCAGGTTCAGACCTTCACCACCTGCAGTATCTCAGGGTCCCAGGAGAACATAGAAGGATGTCATGGTTTCCCTCTGGGCTGGATCTGATAATAGATCCTTGTTAAAACAAAAAACTGTTTTCCTTTCAAAATAAATGTGAGGATTAAGAGCGGAGTGCATTTAGTTTGTTTAAAGAAATAATAACATAGGCTTAGACTGCTGGAGGACATAGGGACCCCTTTTCCATCATTCTGCTTCATTCTATCTCTATTCTCCCACTCTGCAGAATCTGTTAGTTCAATCTCTAACGTTCTGCTCTCTCCGCTTTTTCTCATAGTAGCTTCATCTGGTCTGTTCCTGTTTGGCTGTGACTCCATCCTGTAGAGAAATATCAGCTGTGCTGCTGCCATCAACACCTTTGTTTCTAGATGTTGGAGCTTGGCCTGTTTTCCAGTGTAGTCCTGTTTCTCTGACTGGTACTAACTGGATGTGCTCTCTTCATCCTCTGACATGGGAGCTGGCTCGGAGCTCGTCTGCCTGGCTGTGTGTTTCCTGGACGGGGCCGCCTGTGGAGCTGGTTGTACTCTCTTTTAATTCTCTGCTTCTTTTTCTATGTCTGCTTCTGTCTCCTTGAACCCCAGTCTGCCTCAGCTGATGTGAATCAGCGCTATAGAAAAAAAACTGAATTGAAATGAACATCTTTGGCTTTAACAGCTTAACTACATAAAACATTTATCTAAAAACATGGAAAGCAGACCTGTCAGCATAAAATGCATCCCTGACCGCATCACGTTTCACAACCAGACTGAGAACAGACTGCATGTTTCTGAGGCGTTTCCAGCAGCATGTGGAGAAACCTCTCCAAAATAGGCTGATCTCAGGGAGAAACTCCATCACAGTATACAGGATGACAGCTGTCACCATGGCAACCAGAGTCCTAGCATGGTGCCTGAAGTATGATGGAGTTTTTGGAAAGAAAATTAAGGGAAGAAAATCTGGAGCTGAAGTCCAGCATGAGTCAGCAGATGAGGGCAGGAAGCAGCGTTTTGGAAACAGGTTTCCAGACTAAAACTATTGGATTTCCAACTCCGCCCACTCCTTCCAGGGGACTGTTCAACATCCGTCTGCTGGGAGACAGGAGGCATTACTCTGAAGTGTTAAAGTGCTTTATTATTCATATTCCATCCACTTGTTTTCACACAGAAAACACAAACTTTACAGTTTATTGGGATTTTTTGTTACAAATCAAACACAAACAAGTCATAGCTGTTTAGGAAAATGAAAATAAAACCTGGCTTGATTTGGTGTGATGCAGCTGCTCTGCTGGAACAAGCTGGACGACCATAACACGACTGGTTGCTAAGATTCTGCAGGCTTTAATGCAGCTTTTTTGCCGTCTTACTGGCTGCATAGAGGCTTCTTTTAGGAACCACCGTCCACCTCAGATCAAATATTTACAGGCAAGAACGTCCCAGAAACTCCCCCATCACAACCAAGCTGTAAACATGTATTTTCTGCCTAAACAAGCTCAAAGAGGATTACTTTTTCCCTTTGTTTCTCATCTCTATAGCCACTATCGTGGGTAAAGTAGGCTGTTTACTGAAATGTTTTATTGATTATGTATGGCCCAGTCTGCCCCGCTTCCTTTTTCTGCTCCATGTGTTTCCAAATGGGGCGAACCTGGCTGCCGTATCTGATGATTCAGAGATTTTGCTTTGCATTGCCCAAAGCTAATGTTTTAGTTTGTTGCTGTGTTTCTCTTCCTGTCAGATTCATGACATTTCCATCAAATTTCTGAGAAAGTCCAACTAAATTAGACCAGGGGGTTTCCTCTGAGGTACCCGAGAGAATCGTCAGCAGTCTGGCTCATCTTCATTTCATTGATATAATTGTGATTCAGTTAATGATTCAGTTTTTGGGGTGGTAAATCATCTCCATTGCGTTCTATCCTTTAAACCAAGCCCAGATGGATGAACTGGATTTATTTGTTCTTATTTATACAAGTTTTACCAAACATTAAACTTCTACCAGAAAACCTTTAAAACTGTTGTGCTGGTGAAGATTCTCAGTCATCCAGGTCAAAGTCACTCCAAAAAGGTAAAAAAAATCAATCCAACGGACTTTGTTTCCAAGTTTGAACACGTTTCTCTTCCATCCAGGAAGCTTTTTCAATTCAAAATGTCGGAATTAGCGTTGATTTCGAAGAACTTGTCTTGATTTTGAAGAACAAGTCTGCCCCTTAGGTAATGTGGAGTCGTTTTGGCTTCTTTGTTAGCCTGCAATACCGATCCTGGGTTATGCCTCTGAAAGGGGGTTGTTAGGGGTAATTGTTGGCTTTGCTGCCCAGGCAAGATGTTTTGTCTCCTGCATGGGGGTGTGGGGTTGAAATGATAGCAGGAAGGAATCCACTCAATCACTACATTTTAGGTTTTTTGAAAGCTGAAATCTGAGTCCCCCCCCCCCCAAGGCTGGTTTTTCTTTCTTAACATAGATGGCTTCCTTCACGTCCCTCTCAAACCACCTGTCTTCTTTGTCCAAAATGTGAACATTCTGGTCCTCCAAAGGTCCTTTGTTCATAAGCTGTAGATGTACCTCAGAGTCTTGTCCAGTAGAGGGTGCTCTTCTGTGTTGGTCCATGCGTCTGTGGAGAGGTTGTTTGATTTCTCCAATATGAAGAGCAGAGCATTCCTCACTGCATTAAACTGCAGACACCACTCCAATCAGATTAGGTCTGGGGGTTTTATCTTTAGGATTAACTAGTCTCTGTTTGAGGGTCTGTTGGGTTTGAAATATTCTGGGAATTTGTGCTTAAAGAAAACCTCATGAGTTTCTCAGAGACTCCAGCAACATATGGGATGGAGATCTTTAAAACCCTTAAATACTTTGCCTTCTAAAGTTATGCATCACTTTGACTAGATCTGTCAGATAAAGTAATGTATCTAATGAAAGGTGTGTAGAGAAATGGGAATAAATTTCCAGACGTAAAACTGACTATTTACTTGACCATTTAAGGTACTTTAGGCTTTTTTAGTAGGAATAAGCAGAAATGTAAATATATTACCATCATTAAAATTAAATATCTATAAAGGGTTTTATGTTCTAGATTTTTCGATCACTGAAGGTGTGATTAGGATGGAGCGTGAGGCAGTAACTGTTTACTTTAATGGACTTTCACTGATCATATTGATGGTTCTTGCATCACACTTCATGTGTAATAATTGATTTTAATTTCCATCTTTACCACTATCACATTGCTTATTTTCAGATTCAATGGCCGATTAATCAATCAGAATTTAACATCAGTACAAACAATATTTATTTCAAACATGATTTGGTTATTTTAGGACAGTATTTTTTAAAGTGTGCTTCTAGGAATCAATAGTTGGTGTGTAGGGTGGAATGAGTGGAAGCTATATTGCCATCCATTTTTACAGTATTATATATTAAATATGAACATTTAACATTTCCCGTTCCTTTTTTGCATTATTTTGACATAATCACGCTGCATCGCTGTCAGATTACCCACATAACACCTAGCAATGATGCTAGCCCGTTTTTCTGGGGGAACCCTTAGAACACCATGACTGCTGAAGCACAACACTGCACAAAAAACATCTAGAAATGAGTCAAAAATTCTTAAATCAACTTTATTTACTCTCAATTTGAGCAGGTAATTCTGATGATCAGCCAGTGGAATGAGTAATTTCAATCTTAAAAAAAGATAATTAGATAATATGCTCTTGAAATAAAGCAATGCAATTGTATTTATCTTATTTTAAATGTAAATCATCTTGTTTCATTAGCAAAGGGTATCTCTTACCTCCTCAATTCAAGAAAGAAAAATGAGCAAAAATGAGTTATCTATCCATCCATCCATTTTCAAAAATGCTTATTCCAGGTCGGGTGCTGGTTTCTATCTCCAGCTGTCAATGGAGGAGAGGCGGGGTCCACCCTGGAGGAGGTCGCCAGTCCATCGCAGGGACAAACAACTATTCACACGCACACTGACACCTAAGGGGACTGTAGAGAAGCCAATTAACCTAACAGTCATGTTTTTGGACTGAGGGAGGAAGCCGGAGTACCCAGAGAGAACCCCCGCATGCTCAGGGAGAACATGAAATCTCCAGGCTGGGAATCGAACCCAGAAGCTTCTTGCTGCAAGGCAGCCGTGCTAGCCCATGACTTATCTAGATTTTATTTTCCAGTGCAGTGAAGGTTGCCTGTGTCTTCTTGTCACTTCAGACAGGGGCTACTAAAGAGCTTAAAAGCAGAATAACAGCGGACGAGAAGACCAACCTGAAGCTAACAGAGGGCTTTCAGTTTTCAGTTCTTCTGTAAAGGTTTGTTAACTTCTGTTAGAGACGTGAGAATGTGCTCCTGATGATTGTGCACAAGCTTGAAGCTGTTCAGTCTTTTGCATCTTGAAGGTGAGGAGAACTATGAATCACTCAGAGGAAAAACATCTGAATGTTCAAACTAAACTGTTCTCCTCTGTATGGCTGCGATTTGTCCAGGATAATGGATAGTTCTTTTAATGTAGCTGTAATTTTTAAATGTTTTAAATATAAGGATGTGCTCCTTTTTAAGATTAGCATACTGGAAAAAAACAAAACAAAAAAAACTTTTCCTGGAAAGACTTTCTGATACTTTCTGAACTCCAACTCAAGTTTTTTAAGAAAATATCCGCTTATCAATTCATTGTTCATTCAGAAATAACACAAATTATCTCTTAACAAACATCCCCCCTTCGAATATTAGTACAGAGACAATGAAAAGAAGCAACTCAATAATGTCTTCCAAACATAGCAGCAATATACATATTCAGTCTTCGTGGCTACCAGTCCTTAAATATTAAAGTTTCCTTCATCTTCAGACTGTTAGGTGAAAAATGCTTGATTGCTGATGTTCTTACCATTGACGGTTAGATGCACCCAGCTGCCGTTGTGGAAGGTGTCCAACTGATGCTCCAGCAGCAGCACCTTACACTCGTACCAGCCTTGGTCGTCTGAACGCACGCCATCTATCTGCAGGGACGACTTGCCATGCAGAGTGGCCCGGCCTGGAGGGGAGAGAAGGACGTCAGCCGGAAGCAGAAAGGAAAACAAGGTGAGGAGTAAAGACAGTCGGAGTGATTTATGGAGGAAAATCCCAGAAGGGAAGAGGGCAGAAGGATCAATAAAAGGTAAATTTATAGAAAGAAAAGGCAAGAGAAAATACATTAATTTCATATAATTCCAATAATTTACAACACATGTCATCTCAGTTCACTTTAGAGAGAAAATGAAACCAGATCATTCAGTCAGACTGGTAAAAAAATTTCTGACAACAGCCTACAGACTATATCGTGTCATTGAGTTGCAGGACTTGCTCCTCCTGGATCTTGTGTGGTATATGTATGTGCATGTATGTGTATATAGTCAGATTTTCTTTTTGACTACAGAAATCTCTCAACCAAGCATGCATGGGTCATGATCTTGGCTCTGATGACTGGGTTAATGGTTCATTCTATTCACCTCCACCCAGTTTCTCATTACTGTTCATCTCATCCACCTGCCCCTGCCTCTATTTAAGCTGCTTCCTCCCTGTCATCAGTGCCTGATTATTCAAGCCTTTGGTGAGAGTTCTCTAGCGTACCCAGTGTGTTGTTCTGATTGTCTGATCCTGAATAGTTCTTCCCTTAGGGCTCTGAGCCTTCCTGTCCCTGTTCGGATCTGTTTGCCTGACCTGTCGTCGGCCTCCTGCTGGATTCTGCTTGCTTTCGACCCTGGATCTGTCTCCTGACCCCGACTTGGATTTCTCTTCGGTATCTCTTCAAATCTCTGGATGAGTATCGATGAGGTAAACGGCCTGGACTCCCGTTTACCTCATTTATACCAGCTTTGGCTTTGCCTTCTGGAAACTCCTGCTTTCCCTCGTCTGCTTGTTTTTGCTCATCAGCCAGTCCAGCAGCCTTCTGGGCTTCGGCTCCTGGAACTATCTGGGTGGCTTCCACTGTGTGAAACCATCCGGCTGGATTCCACTCCTTCTTCTTGGCTCAGACTGAACTTTAAAACCAGGTTAGTGACTCTCAAGCTCATAATTGTCCTCCATCAGATCTACGTGGTCACTAACCTGAGTTTTCCCCTCTACAGAGGTTCCAGACTTTTTCTTCCAAGCTGCTGAGTTGCAGATTTAACATGTTGTTAATAAATGCTTCTGTAAATTACATCAATTTGTCTGCCTAAAATTCTGGGTCCACAGTTCTGAAACCATGCAGCAACGATTGGAGAGGAAAAACTCAACACTAATAGGAAGAAGCCTGAGGAAGAAGCAGAACCAGGCTCAGTGTGAGCGGCCTTTTGCTAAGGCTGATTGAGGGTAAAAGCAGACAGAAGAGGCTAAGAGGAACATAGAAGCACTAATCCAGTATTTCCTATGTGAGAAAACGTACAGGTACTCTCAACAAAAATATAAATGCAACACTTTTGGTTTTGCTCAAATTTTAATGAGAACTCAAGGATCTAAAATTTTTTCCACATATATGATATAACCCCTCAAATATTATTTAATAACCAATCTAAATCTGTGAAAGTGAGCACTACTCCTTTGTTTAGACAATCCATCCCACCTCACAGGTGTGCCTTAGACTGCCCACAATAAAAGGCCACTCTGAAAGGTGCAGTTCTATCACACAGCACAATGTAACAGATGTCGCGAGATTTGAGGGAGCATGCAGTTGGCATGCTGACAGCAGGAATGTAAGGCAGAGCTGTTGCTTGTGTGTTGAATCTTCATTTCTCTACCATAAGCCGTCTCCAAAGGCCATTCAGAGAATTTGGGAGTACAGCCAAGCAGCCTATCAACTGGTAACTAGTGGTGATATAGCAAACATACTTCATGTATCTCAAGTTTTCCCATGCAGGACAGTTAAACTGACTCTATCAAAGGCATCCAGTACAAATTCGCATGACGACATTAAGCCGTCTGCATCTATTTCACTGAGAGTTTTATTTTTCCCACACTTTGAATGCATCATAAACCCCTTCTCCAAACAGGATTATTTTCTGCGCTGCACAGATTCACACTACAGCAACCAGCAAACACAATATGGCGACAGCAGAGGAATATACAGCAGTGGTTTGGATTTCACGCTGAGGACATCGGACAAAAGGCGCTAACTTGTAAGACCAAAAACCATTGCTGCAAAAGGTAGCAGTACAAATTTATTCCACCACCAAAAGTCATCCGCTGCAAAATGAAGAATGTTATAAACTCTGCATGTCAGCGTCTCGCCACACACCAATTAAAACGTTCACTAAATCAGCTGTGAAGCCGATGGCGTTTGCCTCGTTGCTTGTAAAAGCGATCCCATATGAGAGAAACAGGAAGATATGGAGAGAAATCACAGATGCTATTTATGACATTTAAATGTTTTTTAGATCCTCTAATACCTCTGATGTGACGTTCAGAGGTTTTGCAGGCGTTCTCTAAACTTGGCAATGTTGTCAAATTTAAAACTTTTTGTTCTTTAAAATTCCCAGCATGGGAAGATCAGTACAAATAGATTGGAGATGCTCTGATAATACATAATAATGTTTGGACGGCTTTTACACTTTGGGTTTTGTAATTTAAGTTCATTCTTTTTTTTATTTCTCTTTTTTTTATTATGCACAACAGAGCCCTTTTTTTATTTTGAATTTTATTTAGTATAAGTTTTTGCTTTGTTCCTGTTTGGTTGCTGGGATCTTGTTAAAGGTCTAATACTGACCGCCAAGGCATCATGTGGCAAAAAAGCTTTGAGGTGGTTAAAATGAAATAAAATAAAATTTGAAACCAACAGTTTGAATGAGTATATCATGGCAATTTTATACACTCTATTGTTTTGAAGGTAATTTAAACATATTGTTTATCGCGATATAGCCCAAATGCATCGTGATATTAGATTTTCTTTATATTGCCCAGCCCAATATGCCACTCGAATCAGACCAGGTTTCCAAAACAACTTGCCAATTATCAGTGTAGCCCAAATCATTTTCAGGATCCCACCAAGACAACCAGAACCAAACTGAGGGAGTCCAACATTGTCTTTCATTTCACCTTTGTCTAATAGGTTTTGTTTTTGGGATCCAGGATCTCATTTACCAGAGACACCTTCTTATTTTTTGTCAGATTTGCACATCAAAGCAAAACTAATTTTACTGTCCATGTAACTGAGTGTCATTACTGCCAGCATTAGTTCTAATCTTACTGTAGTATTTCCAGATGAAAGCTAAAAATAACAGATTAATGGCTTTGGGTTAGTTCCAGCTCCTTATGAAAATATCACAATAAATAAAGCCGGTTTTATAGACATATCAACATAAGAGCTGCAAACTTGGATTATTAATTGGACGTATTCCTGAGATGCCCTGATTTCCATGAGTGTGGTGGTCTATTTCAATAAAAGCACTCAGGCAGGGACAGGTCATTACTCCCTTAGAGGGCTAGGAGGCAGCCAACATGACAACATTCATAAGATGAAGGGGAAGCCTTGGGGAGACTCATCATCCATCAGGACACAAACCGGCTTTGGCGTCGCTTCGTGTGAAGGAGCTGAATCTCACAATTACAGATTACAGATCAAAAGCTGTGACTGGGTTATGATGTTGCTCCAGGCTATCGGGATCAGAACAGACTGCAGCAAAGCAGAGCGCTCATCCAGCTCCAAACATCATCATCATCAGAGAACTGGCTCCCCATCATTAACCCACTCACTGCGCAGCAGGAGGGCCATCCTCACACCATCACTGTAGATCATCTTTTATTAAAGAGGCCATTGATTATCTTAATGTTTCAGATCAATTATATTAGCATATTATATCATATCTGTCAGTATTTAGAGATCCAGACAAAATATAACCATACATTTCTGATTTAATGTTATGATCTCACATTTTGGAACTTTTGTTTCAGTTTAAGTTTTCATTTTTTTGGCTTCTTAAGTTTGCTTTGGTTCATTCTCTGTTCTCTCGATTTTGTATCGTTAGTTTTGCTCCTCCTGGTTATCTGTTTTCTTCAACATGTTTTGTATTATTTATTCCTTGGTTTTAGCTTCTCTTATCTTTAGGTCAGGTTTTCCATGGTTTCAGTGATCTCTTAGGCCCTTTTTATTATCCACTAGTTTTTCCCTTTCCTTATTTTGCAGTAAAGAGTTTTATTCGTTTTTGCCCTTATTTAATTTCTTCTCTAGTGACCTTTAGATCCTGTTGTTTCTTCCTGGTTATTCTTTTCTGCCCCCTAGTGTCCTTTCCTTCCCCTTTAGCTCCTTCTAGTTACTTCTGTCTACACCTGCTCCCTATCAGCTAATTAGTCCTCCCACTGTCTCCCATATATACACCTCCTGTTTAGTTAAGTCAGGCATATACTGCACGCATTTTTGCCCTTTTTGGGCCAATTCTCCAGTCGTGCAAGTATTCTTTGGATAGGGTGCGATGAGCGTTTCAGCCTCATGGTGCGTCCTGCGTTGTGCAGTATACAGGGTGTAAGGAGGGGCAATTAGCCTTTAACAACCACCTCCCGATCGGGAATCATAAGGTTGGGAGATAAATAAACATTTTGGGAAATTCAGTCGGCCCTCCTGAGGTGTTGGTGGGTAAATCCTGCAGTTGAAGCAGAGCTACCAGCCAATTTATCAGAATCTCGATCACTGCGCATGTGCAAACAAGGAAGTCCTTCTACTCCTTCTTTTTCAGAATAGTAAGTCCGACCAGCGCTAACCCTCTCTGTGCTGAGTCCAATGTCTAGTTTTTGGACATACAGTGTGAGCAGTTAGATCCCATCAGAGTGTCGAGCCATACAGAACATACTCTGTGAGCTGTGAAATTTTAAACTCTGGGTTTTTATCACAGCGTTTATGTCATGATCTTGGCACTGATGGCTGGATTTGACTCTTTTCTCACATCTGCTTAGCTCCGCCCAGCGCTCATTGTCACTCACCAGATCCACCTGTTCCTGCTTCTATTAAAGCTGCCCCTTCCCAGCCATTGGTGCCAGATTATTCAAGCTGTGTGTGAGAGTTACTCTAGCGATCCAGTGTGTTCT